GGTTGAGGTTTGAGCTCTCTGCCTGGTTTGAATTCAAGCAGAAGAAAATGGCAGGATGTTGACTGCTGAGGGTTCGGTTTTCTTTCGTCAAGTGCATTTATTCATCTCTATTTTTAAAATACAAAGTACTTATAATATTAAACTTGTACTTATTTATCACAAAAAATTTTGGGAAAACATAGTAGAGTGACAAAAAGGACAAAGAGAGAAAAGAGATAAAATGTCACTGCTGATTCCCCTTTAGGCGGAACTACTGTTTTACGTACCTACTCTTCTCGTTCCTGTAGCTTTCTATGGCAAATTCTACACTACTGAACATAAAATTTATCTCTTTTTTCCTACTAAATTTGCAACAAAAATATTTCCCATGTTATTTCAGAATTTTTGTAAATCTCTTGAAAAATGACACATTTTTTTTATTGTTGAATGCTTACTGTTGGAATTTTGAGGGTTTTTTTCTGGGTATAAGTAATGTTATGGAGAATATCTTTATCTAGATAAATATTTCTCTCCTTTGAAAATTATTTCCTCAGGAGAAATTATTGGGCTGGAAGGAATGGATTTTTAGGATTTATTTTCTGCCTGATTATCACAGTAAGGTGAGTTTATCATTGGCATGTAAAATATAATAAAATGGGGAGAGAAAAAAGTCTTCCACATCCTCTGCCTGGAGGCAACTGACATTAGGGTTTGATATGATTTCTTCTGATAAAGGCAACTGTTTTCTTTCTTAGTAAGACTTAAGGGTATGGACATTTTTAAGGTCTTCGATAGTACTGCCAAGATTGTTTTCCAGTTTTCAGTTTATTCTTCTGGGAGTGTGTGAGTTGCGGCCACTCTGAAAACACAAACACCTGAAAGTTGTCAAGTGAGCATGCTCCTCTCCAAACTCTCCACACGGTCGCTGTGACTCAGGGAAAGTCGATAAGCCTGGGAAGGGCGTGAAAAATGTCGCAGACAGACACAACTCAGAAAACTCATTTCCGGGTCTGGATCTGGCTGAAGTCCATGTTTCTGAAAGACTGCCTCTGATAACGCTGGTCACTGTGGGGTATTTGGACATGCTTGGTTATGACAGGTAGCTACAGACGTCAGCGTGCTGGGTTGGCTTGCTGAAGATGGGTCATTGACCATTTACTAATACAGATAGAAGGAAGAGGTCCTCTAGTAAGGGCTCTCCAATCTTCTTCAGAATGTGGTGCACATGGAGAATAATAATATTTTTCTATGTGCTGGAGAATACAATAAGACTTCTGTAGACTTGGGCCCCACCAGGCTCGCTCTCTCTCTCTCTCTCTCTCTCTCTCTCTCTCTCTCTCTCTCTCTCTTTCTCTCTCTCTCCCTTGTTTTGTTCTCCCACATAGCTCTTGCACCGATTACACTTGTCCCCTGGATGATGGTGCTGTTCTGGGTGGCTGGTGGAATCTTTAGGAGATGAGGCATAGCTGGCGGAAGTACGTCACTAGTGGAAGGTCTCTGGTTCTGGCAACTGTCTACTTCCTGTCCATTGCCATATGAACAGCTACTGCCACACACCACAGCCTTGCTGCTCTGGACTGAGCCATTCCAAAATGGCTTCTATGTCAGGATGGACTGGAATCGTGAACCCCAAAGGAACCTTTCCCCTCTCAAGTTGCTTCTGTAAGAACTTTGCTCCGTGCAATTAATTAACGCAATTAACTAACTAAAAAGAAATTAATACACACAGGATTCCAATTCTTCCTTGTAGAAGGTGCAAGCTTTTCTTAACAACCTTACATGGTAACTATTACAAGTCTTACATGTTAGTTATTCTTTATAAAAATACATCAAGCTCCTTTAAGAAAGTTTTCTTCCTCTGGCTTCTCTTATCAGAAGTCTTTCAACAGTTCAACAATTATTAACCACGTTCTAGCATGGACCAGGCCCTTTAGTAAACACGGGGGCTAGAAGGCTAACATAGACAGCTTAGGACTCTTACATGCTCACAGCTGTGTGGAAGGAAACACAAGAATGGCAAGGGAAAGTGGGAAGAACATCATCAGAGATGGATCCACATTTCCTGGCCAGCTTCTCCAGGCAGTGGGGAGGCTTCCAAAAGCAGTATGCAACACGAAGGAGAACTAGAATTCATACCCACCAATCAGAAAACAGAACTAGAATTCA